AGAACCGTGTTTCATGGCGAGCATTGTGTTGCCATGGCAACGGCATTTGAAGAAATCTCAAAACTGTCTCGTAGATGTCTTCACGGCTGGACTGTTAGCACACATGTGAATTTTGAGCACTTTTTGAACATTTTCATAGGAGTTAAAGGGACATCGTGTTTTATGGCGAGGGATGGAAACGGCATGGTGAGATTTCAGATTTGGCGTAGAGCTGTTGAGGCATGGACCGGAGAGAGAGAGAGAGAGAGAGAGAGAGAGAGAGAGAGAGAGAGAGAGAGAGAGAGAAATGAACAGTTAGAACTGACTGCTGTCAGTTGGAGTGATGACATCATCGTGTTCCATTACACAGGTGTTTATAGTTGAGCTAACGAGCTATGAAGAGATCAAAGGTTTGCATTGTTCTGAATGACAGATAAACCTCTTACATGTGAACGTTTTGTGGAAGAACGATAACAGATATCTGTGAAATTTCAAAACGTGAAGCATGTCAAGGAAGTTGAGTATCTGAAGTGTAATTTTTGTGTACTTTCGGGTTAATAATGTGGCCTTTTTGGCAGTTTAACTAAAGGTGTGCGGCTGCTGCTGTGAGGAAATATCAGCCTGAAATTACAATGGGTTTTAATGGAGACATGTTGAACGTTTTTGTCACTTCATGCCCTCAAGAGGCATTTTGTTGAATTATTTTGCTTAATTATTTGTCATTTTTCAAACTACGAGATGTTTTCCTACGTTTGTCATGAAAAACTATGTCTCAGGAATGTAGGGTTTGGGAATTATGGCAGTTTTAAAAAAAAAAATATGAAGGCAAATTTCAAGATTTCCTACCCTCTCGCTGTGACATCACGCACTCTGCGCAATGTTCAAGTTAAAATGTTAAAAATGTGATGAATTATGGGATGTATCTCTGGAATTATAAAAGTTATGAATGATAAAAGCAATAGCCATCGATCCCCGACCGAGCTGAACCTTTTGTTGTTTGAACGGAGTTTCTGCGATGTTGAATGTGGGAGAAGACGGACAAAATAACTGGATGGAATAATAAGAATTTTGTCCGTAGCATAACATATAGTTGGAATGCTGTATCAGCATTCCCACTAAACTAGTTGAAGGAAAGGCCTTACATGTAAGAAAAATGTGTAACATGTAAGGTCAAAGTCTAACAACCTCACTAGTGAGAAAAATTGCCCTCCACTAGGTAACTAGTAAGAAAAAGATCTGTGTCACTAATTTACTAGTGACTCCTCTAAGGCTCCAATAGTTAACTTGTGAGATAAAGTGTGTGTAACTAGTTAACTAGTAAGGTAAAAACAATTGTACTAGTGTAACTAGTGGACACTTTGTACCTCACTAGTTAACGTGTAGACATTTTGAGCCTCACTAGTTAACTAGTAAGGTCAAAAGAGGCGGCAACTAGTTAACTAGTGAACATTTTGCCTTCACTGGTGTGTGTTTTTGTTGGTGCGAGTGTGTGTATGCTTGTGTGTGAAAACACTGGCACTCAAGACACAAAAGTAGCGGATATGATCGTTGGACATTTTATCAGCGGTGCTCATGAAATGAATAAAGCTGAAACACTGGACAGATCTTAAAATCAGGGTAATGATAGATCCGTAGAACCTCTCCTTAGACTAATATTTACGAAAGTCACTGCGATCTCTCAGCCTCAGAGGAAAGCTGTGATCTGAAGAGGGTTATTCCTCCTTCTACCCACCACATATGTCACTCTGTTATCACAGTGCTATTCTAATCCAAACACCTTTCTAATTGCAGTTTAATAAAATGTTTTGAAGACGATCTTTATTCCTGTCTGCAGTCCTAAGGCAACTTTCGAATTTTAACAAAATCTTCAATGTTCTTACCTAATTTGATATACAGGCATATGATCATAATTATATTTTTGTAAATATCGTCATATGACTGTTTTTTAAAACACAGTGTATTTAAGCTCTTAAAGAAACTATTTGGGCTGGGTGGCACTCTAGCTTAGGGCCAAATAGGAGACCTCGATGCATTCTTTCCCCTCCTCCTCATTAGCATTATGTCATGGCTGGAGGGCAAGGTACACAGGACCCAAATGCAGAATATTGTTTGAAATCCAAAATACTTTTATTGCGGAACTAGGCCAGGCAACAAAGTAAAATAAGGCAAGGCAAAACGTAGAAATCCCTCAGAACAAAATCCTTCCAGCAACATCAAGAATCTCACAACGACAGACAGAAAAACCAGGGTTGCGGTCGAATAGTCCATTTAGCTTAGGAACCTTCCTAACGGAGTGAAATTACCCGGAAGTCCCTCAGTGGCAGCCATGATAAGTGCTGTTCGAATTCTCTAAATGAAAGGAAAGGAGGTTTCAAACTTCCTTTATAACCTCCTTTAGCTTAGGAACCACTGGACCTCCCTAACCGAAAGGAGAGGAGAAAATGCTGCCCCACAATGCCTTGCGGCCGCGGCATTTGCCGTCACACAACAGTCGGCCATTCACGGAAACAACCGATTATGAACGAGAAATTATATCATGAAAGTTACGGTGCTTATTAAGCATTTTAAAACGTATGTGGTAAGTTGCCAAAGTGTTTTGTTTTGAACGTTCATCAGTATTATAATCAAAAAGAGAAATATGAACGTTAGTTTTTACTGAAATGATCAAATAAAGTCAACATTTCACAGTCTTTACTGAGCTGTGTGGGGTTTGTTCAACTTTTAAAAGATGTTTGAATGGTGATATACACAGTGATAGATGTTAAGGACTAACGTTTATAATAAATACATTTGTATTGATTTTAAGATCTTTTCATACAATCATACGTATTGGGATCATTTGTATTAATGTGGACCGGAGGGAGAGGGTGACGAGCATAAGTTTCACTTTCCTTTTTTATTTCAATTCCAACTTTGGTCATGAAGAATATGTTTCTCTGTTGTCCCCGTTCATAAAGCATAAAACAACAGCATCAGAGCACGGTGCAGAGTCTCTAGATGAGTTTACAGTAGTCCCTCGTTCTTATTAAACATCCATGTTGTAGTCCGCTGTATAGAAAACTGTAGTTTCCATAGTTTCCCCACTGCAGCAGACGCACTTATTTATGTCATTTATGACGTCCGCTGGCGCATCATAAACACGTCGGATAGTGAAAGTGCAGTCGGATTCTCTAAAGTACCGCAGTCTCTTCTCCTAAATCCTTTTGAATTCTACTATCCACTATCCCTTAACCCCGTGACGTTTCACACAGAGGTCAAGGAATAGACGATAGGGTTAGAACTTAGGAGCTGATTTTTGGACTATTCGACCGCAACCCAGAACTTAAATGCACACAAGACTAATCACACAAACAAGACACAGGTGAGGAGGGAGGAGAAAACACAGGGGCACAAGGTGAACACAATCGGGTAATCAGGCAGGAGCGAACACAGATACAGGAAGCAACAGACAAGACGGGGGGTGAACACTTTTCAAACTAAAACAGGAAACCAAAGACAGATCTAGACATGACAAAACACAACACAGACAGATCGTGACATATTCTGTGCAACTAGTGTGACTAGTGCACATTTGGGATCTACTAGTACTACTAGTAAACATTTTAAGCCTCACTAGTTCACTAGTTGAATTTAAATGTATCTCACTAGTAAACTAGTAAAGGCAAAAGGTTCACTAGTTAACGTGTAGACATTTTGAGCCCCACTAGTTAACTAGTAAGGTCAAAAGAGGCATCAACTAGTTAACTAGTGAACCTTTTGCCTTTACTAGTTAAGATCCACGTCAAGTTTTCAGTTTTGGCGGCAGTTCCTGTTTGTCTAGAAGTCTTGTCATCAGGGCTCTATAAATAGAGTTAACTACGGCAGATGTGTCATATTTAATGCAGCCGAAACGTGTATTATAATGCCGTTATGTGATGACTTTCAAAGAGAAAAGCAAGCACACTCGGAATAATGTATTATTTAATTGTTTTATACAGTCTATGGTTGCTACAGAGGATTGTGGGTAATGTCATGTCTTCGGCCATCCAAAACTCATAGAAAACGACTTGTTTCTCAGAATTGAAGGGGAAAACGTGACAAAAGCATTGTACACACACTAAAACCTATCAATGTCGTTTAATTAACAAGGATAATCTGGTGTTTTTGAGTTGATGAGTAGTGGAGATATCACTGTCAAATCAATCGACATTAAGGGGAATACTTACTTCCGGGTGTACAATTCTCCGTTATCCAATGGGAATGGACGCTCACATTGCCTTTAACAGCCTCCGACATAAACGAATGCCGTGCTTCCCTAAGCGTCAAATACCGCCACCGATGGGAATACATTGCAATCAGTTGAAAGCTCTTTGCGTCCGTTTATGAAGCTGAAGGAGCCTCGGCGCGTCACAACTGGACGCCACGGGACCCTGACCAAGCGTCGCTCCTGGACGCTTAGGGAGTGAGAGTGTGTTGCTATCCGCTGCGAACGACACCCTCCCACCCAAAAGAGTGCCGAGTCACATGTAGCGTCCTCCAACCCCCATTCACAGTTCTCCACTGCCTTTTCTCTCTCAGCTGTCAGTCCCCCAGCTGTGAGTCTCTCCACTGATTAACACACCTGTTTCAGTTCAGTTAATCAGTGCCCATGCAGGCGCATTCACATCACAGATCCATTAGAACGCTACTTTATTAAATATTCTTTAAACTTCCTGAGACGTCACCTTGTCTCCTCTTGTTTAACTTACTCCTGGACTTTGAATAAAAGAACATTTACATTTCAAGAATCTTCATTTCATTATAACGGAAAGGTTTTCTCACCATTGTATTACTATTTGTCTCGGTACATTTCCACCACACAGTGTTTGCCATCAAAGCTCCAGCTCTCCCTGTGTCTCTCTGAGTTTCGTCTCCACTGCTTCAATAGTTTCCATCACCATTGGTATTTTTCTTTACAACTTTAATTTAAACAACATAAAGGTGAAAATAAATGAATAATCAGTTAAATAAATAATAGACATCAATGAAAAGATAAGTGAGAATATGCAACCCATGTCTTTATTATTGTGGATTGGTTTTACATAAATTATAACTTTATCACAAACAATGTTTTACACCTCGATTGTTCAATTTGATCTAGCAGAGATTATTTGCAAACATTAATCGGTTATGTTGTCTTCATTGCTGTTAAAACCCCAAAAATGTCCCGGTTCAATTTGATCCGAGCAGAGTGAGAGCATATCCATCAGGGATTCGGTTAATGTTAGCACTGCAGCAGTCTTAGGCCCGCCCCAAATGCTCAATAGTGATCAACACCCCACCCCTCCTGTGACCCATGGTTGTCTGTATGTGTATTCAGAGCCAGTGAGCAACGGACTTTCAAAATAATAATATTAATCAAAGATGTTTTTAATGTGCAATAAAACGATTGTCGGAGTTAATGAATGAATTAATGCCTTAACATGATAATAACGCGTTAACTTGCCCAGCCCTAGTATATATACATATATGTGTATTCTTTTTATATATTTATATTCTTTGGGACGGTGAGAAAAATCATATCTCCCTGTCTGTATCACACACACACAGAGGAATTGACAATGAAGTTGACTTTGACTTTGAAATTCAGTTGCCACCATTACACAGTGTTTTAACCCGATTACTCAAATGTTCATCCAGTTATTACAATTGTGCCAGCTTTTAGCAAGTAATGTCATTGTATCAGAAGTTACAAGAGTGATTAGATCTCTTGAACCATCCAAAGCAAAGGATACTGTATATTTGAATGGAAGTAGTTATACACTCAAGATCTCAATGCAATTCTAACTAATCCTAAAACCAAAATTGTTGATCTCTTACGGAAAATGTCCAAAGATGTTTTTCCAATACTATAGAAATGTCCTTCCTACAGAGTCATTAGTTGCTGAAAAACTGGTAGCAGAGCAAATTATTTGCCATTTGAATACTAGCTTATTTTCTTTGCACCCAATGCAATTTGGCTGTTTTCGCACAGAAATACTAAAAAAAAGTTAATAAACAAACATCTCAGCCGAGCCTGTAACAAAAAATCCCATTTCCTCCTTCTGAAAATGTAATCCCTTCCTTTTGATTTAGTGTCTTGAGAATTTTCACAGCCAAAGTAAGGAAGTTGTTGCTGTAGAAAGAGGCTGTTATATTTCATCTTTTAATTCTTCTTCTCCAGGGCCCTGCATAAGGCTTCACGGATTCTCTCCTTGCTGTTTGATATGTTATAAGCAGTCAGCTCCACCAGAGCCTCAAAATCCTCTTTTGAGTAGGTCATGTTCTTGGTTGTGTAAGGAGATCCGTTGCTCCTCACATCCACCTCCCCAGCTTTTAATTCTTCCTCCGTCTCACGCTTCACACCTGTAAAGTCATATGATGATCATACAGTTAGTCTAATCATGATTCATACAGCCCAATAAAATACATCATCCTAATCATTAAATTATTAAAGACATACAAATAAATCTCCACTGGCTCCCTTTCCTTCAGGCGCGGGTCCTCCTCATAAAAAAAACGGAAACATTGAATTAAATGTATCGTGTCAACAAAATTAACATAACTGTATTAGGTTGGTTGAAATCAATATAATTAAGTTGAGCTGAGTTTAATTATTTAAACTTAATATGATTGATTTCGACTAACCTTATACAGTTATGGTACATTTGTTGACATAATACATTATGTCAACGACTCAGTTTTTTCAGTGTACCAGAGGGCTGGGAGTCTATGGGATTTGCGCAGTACCTTATCTGTTCCTAGTACTGCAATCTTCTGGACAGAGATCTCGGATGTTGTTCCTGGGATTTGCTGAGCCACTGTACCACTTTGGGTTTTACTGCCTCGAGTGCTCCGATCACCACTGAACCACTGTTGCCCTCATTTACCACATCTTCTCTAGCTCCTCTTTGAGCCCTTGGTACTTCCTAAGCTCCACGTGTTCCTTCTTCCTGATGGTGCTGTCGCTTGGGATCGCTGCATCTATCACCACTGCCTTCTTTTGCTGTTTGTCCACCATCACGATGTCCGATTGGTTAGCCATCACCATTCTATTAGTCCGGATCTGGAAGTTCCACAGGATCATGGATTCGTCCTTCTCAGCCACCTTTGGAGGTGACAGACATTTTGACCTTGGGACTTCCTGCCCAATCCCTGCACAGATGTTTGTGTACACTACGAACCATTGGTCCCCATCCCCATGTTGCTCCAGGGGTTGCTCCACCACATGCTCCACCACCTCCTCCAGGGGTTGCTCCTCCACATCCCCATGTTGCTCCACCACAGCACAGAGACTGCCCTCATCAAAATAACCAATGATCTCCTTATAGCCACCGATTGAGGCCTCATTAGCATCCTCATCCTCCTGGACATCTCCACAGCATTTGACACAGTCTCCCACACCATCCTACTCAACCGCCTATCCCCTACCTTGGCCTCTCTGGTACAGCCCTCTCCTGGTTCCATTCCTACCTCTCCAACAGGCAACAGTTTGTGACAATCAGAAAATCCAGCTCTCCCCCAGCCCCTGTCAACCAAGGCGTGCCGCAAGGTTCGGTGCTTGGCCCCCTTCCATTCAACATCTACATGCTCCCCCTCGGTGAAATCATCCGCCAACATGGTCTCAACTTCCTCTCCTATGCCGTTGACACCCAACTCTACATCAGCACCAATCCATCATCCCAGCTACCTCCCCTGTCACTAGTCAACTGCCTCTGCGACATCAAAACCTTGATGTCAACAAACCTACTCAAACTTCACAATAACAAAAAGGAGCTCATGGTTGTGCTCCGGAAAGTTGGAGATCTGCTCCTCACCGTCGATGGCTGCTACATCCACCCTTCCCCTGAGGTTTGCAGCCTGGGTGTCAATCTGGACTCTAGCCTCACCTTCAACTCCCACATCAGGTCTACTGTCAAAACCGTTTTCTTTTACCTACGAAACATCTCCAGACTCCGGCCCTCTCTCCCTGACCCCGTTGCAGAAACATTGATACATGCCTTCATTTCCTCTCGCCTGGACTACTGCAATGGAGTTCTGTTCGGGGTCACCAGCAAAGCCCTGGGGCCTCATTTATAAAGGGATATACGCTCAAAAAATGGCGTACGCCAGTTTCTACGCAATGTTTGCGATTTATAAAATACTAACTTGACGGGAAAATGTGCGGTCCTCCACGCAAACTCTAACCCATGCGTACGCACTAAGCACAAGAACGGGAGAGACGAGAAACTGCGACACCGTTGGTAGAAGGAAGAATGGAGAGAAATATGTGGAAATAATACCATAAATAAAATGTTACCTCTCATTTATCAAATATGAAGAATTCATTTTCAAACATTGATTAATTTAAAGCCAATCTTAAAATGATTAAACAAACGCCTGTTTGCGACTCCTCAGTGCACACAAAAACATAACTTGGAGAAATAAATAAATACGGATATGTTATTTAAAACCACCTCGAATATGTTGTGTTAATGTTATGAAATGTTTTCTCATAAATGATGAGGTAAGCAGGAGGACAGAATAACGTCTAAACTGATGCCGTTTTGCTTTTCTATAGGTTGTAGATACGAGCATGGTTTTATATACTATCACGTTTAATCGTGTTTTATGCCGTTTGCCAAGACTTGATAAGTCGCTCGTAAAACACAGGAGGTATGGAAACTAAGAACACCATATGTGGTAAATTGTACAGCTAATATAACACAACACATTAGTTGTATTTCCTTTAACTGGTGGATTATGGATATATAGTTGCTGATCGAAAGCTGGAACACAAACCACCAAATACAAACAAATAATTCAGATCCAGTCGTCATGACTCCACTCCGGAGGGATTCCCCGATCATTTCTCTTTTTCAAGGGGGTGTCTCCTGTCCCCGGTACAAACACATTGCGCGAGGAAGGTTATGTGTAATTTTTTTGTCATTAACTTTTTTCGGACCACTTATTTATTTATTTCTTTTGGTGACGATCCGACCTCCATGCTGCTACTCTGGTTCAAACTGCATCCACCAAACAATATGATTTATCTCGACCTCCCCAAAATAACCAAAATCTGACACGGTGTGAGATGTCTTTTTTAGCTGTGCTGTCGTCATTTCCTGCGATCCTCTTCATGCAGTCAGTCAAAATGAATGAATGAATGGGCGTTTCTTTGACTATTTATAGGCAAATATGGGCGTTACGTGAAGCCTGCAAAAGCTGCGCCGCATTTCGAGTCGATTGTGATTTATAAAGGGAAACAGGCGTAGGAAGTGCCGGTACGCAATGTTTTGTGAATCGGAAAATGTCGGAACATTCCTGTACCTATTTTTTTGCTTTGTACTACGTAAGCAACCTTCCCACGTGAATCCTACGCAAGGCGTTATAAATGAGACCCCTGGACAGGCTCCAGTACGTCCAGAACTCTGCAGCCAGGCTCCTCACCCGCACTAAGCCCTGGCAACACATCACCCCCACCCTCATCCACCTTCACTGGCTCCCGGTCAAGTCACGCATCCAGTACAAACTCCTCCTGCTAACCTACAAATCTCTCCACTCCCTAGCCCTTGCATACATCGCTGACCTCCTTCAGCCCTACACCCCCTCTCGTCAGCTGCGGTCCTCCGACACAGGGCTGCTCTCCATCCAGCGCTCCAAACTGAAATCCTTTGGCGACAGAGCCTTCAGTGCCGCAGCCCCCACCCTCTGGAATTATCTCCCCTCTGCTATTAGGAATGCTGACTCTCTGGACACTTTCAAGAAACAACTCAAACACCATCTGTTCACTCAGGCCTTCGGCCCCAGCTAAAATGCAGTACCCAGCAACCTGTGTGTCTGTGTGATTATTATTACTTAGTTATTCTATCTCCCATTGTTAAGCGTCCTTGGGTTTCTTGAAAGGTGCTATAAAAATCTAAATTATTATTATTATTATTATTAGGGGTTACTTGTGTGGTAGCATTCCAGTGGTTCCATGTTCTCTGCCCTGGTCCAGTCTTGTTCCAGTAGCCCATTTGGCATTGGGTTGCCCTGGTTCCCTAACAAGGACCTTATTGACCTGGGTGACATCCGGGATGACCCTCATGTGCATTAAGGACTGGACTAATAAGAATAAGATGTCATAAGAAGCATTGGGGTTAAAATGCCGACCATGAACCACAACAACCAGGGATCTGGTCATTCCTCTCTCACATAATTTCCTGTCAAAAAGCTGTGTCACCTTTTAAATCATTCTGCAATGCTCTTTGTGTTATTTCAGTATGAGCATTGCAGGTACCCTGTCTGCCACTATCAGCCACACATTCGACTTGAATAGCTTAAAGAGACTTTTCCTTCAGTTTTTTGCAATTGATTCAAGACATAAAGCATAAGTTAAAATACATAATAAAGTAAACATCAACATTGCTGTTGTGAAATGCATCAACTTAAATGAGCATACCAGGTTGTTTGAAGTCCTTAAATGTGACATTGACGAGTGGGAAATGGACCACTATCGGGGCCTTGGGATTTTCCTGGTCCTCGATGATGTAGACCTCCTCCTGAGGCTCCTTGGCCAGACTGGCATAATCAGCATTTGGAAAGGGGATGTTGTGGTTTTCACAGTAAGCAGCTGTCCCCTGTAGGACCTGATAGATTAAACATGATTATAAATTGATGATTTTTATATTGATGGATTTCATTCAGGAAACATTCTGTTTCTCCTCCTGCAGTACCTTGAAGATATTATCTTCGTCCCATGCGTAATTCAGACATATGATGACATCCACGTCTCTCTCTGGCCGCAGTATAGGCACACAGCCAATCTTGATGTCCAAACCAGAATCAACCAGGCGCAGGGTGGAGTCACTGGGTGTCAGTTGGTTTGGGAAGGCATCTGGATGAGTGTCTGGACAGAACACAGAGAAGGATATAATAACAAATAAATCCCAGCCAGATGTAAGACGTGGTTGTTGACTAGGAAACCAAAAGATAAAGGTCTCCTATGATGCAAAATGCACTTTTTGATGTATTTTATACATTAATATGTGTCACCGGTGTGTCAAAGAACTCACAAAGTGTCAGAAAACAAAATCCTCTCTCTTTTCCTCCATACCCAAATCTCTAAAAACGGGGGTACAACGGAGCTGATCCAGATTTACGTCCGAAATGACGTAATATCGGCCCTATCAGAAACTTTGCTATCAGAAACAATGCACAATCTCTTTTGGACGTAATATGGTCTTTGTTTACATTAGCAAGCATCGCTAAACGTCAGAGCTAACCTGTACTGGAGAGAGCATGTGTAAAAAAGCAGGAAATAAAAAAAGGAACTCACCTTGTGGTAAACCCACAAGAGAAAAAGCATTTGAGCTCCATACTGTTTCAGAAATAATCCTTGAAGTGGTTTGGAACATGATAGGGCATTTAATCACAGCAGAATTTAGCTGAGAATGGGCCTGACAACATTCCTGGTCGTGTGTTAAGGACTGTGCAGCTGAGCTCACAGATGTCCTCACAGATATCTTCAACATCTCCCTGAGCCAGGCTGTTGTTCCCTCGTGCTTCAAGGTAACCACCATCACACCTGTGGCGAAGAAGTCACCTTCCTGCTTCAATGACTACCGCCCTGTAGCGCTGACTTCAACCATCATGAAGTGCTTTGAGCAGCTAGTCATGAAGCAAATAAAATCACGGTGTGGTTCTGAAGCTGCACAGCATCGAACCGCAAGACCCTGCAGCGCGCCGTGAACACAGCCGAGAGGATCATCGGTGCCTCACTCCCTTCACTCCTGGACCTCTACAACACCCGCAGAGCACTCAGCATTGCTGGTGACCCCACACATCCCTCCACCTCCCTCTTCACCCTCCTGCCTTCAGGGAGGAGGTTCCGCAGCCTGAGGTCGAGCACCACCCGACTAAAGAACTGTTTTTTCCACCAGGCTGTCAGAAGGCTGAACTCTCTCAGGCTCACTATAGTTCAAAAGTTTTCTATTTTCCAAATGTGAGTAATATTTTTCTAAAAGTGTAGCCAACATATTTCAGAACCTACCTTTCCAGGCTAGAAAGTTGCTGTGTGTATTGTAGTCCCAGTGCAGGAAGAGACCACACATGAAATTGTACATTTCAGCGATGACTGGACGGAATGAGAGGAACCCACGCAGATTCCTGATCATATCTTTGATGGGATTTAGTGTGTGCACAGTTGATGGTGTAGTTCCATTGTCTGTTAAAAGAACATAACATCTCAGTAATATATACATTTAATTTGGTATGATTTAGGGTAAAACATGAGTGTCTTTGTTAAAATATAGGCCAATCAACTGTTTTTATCCCACGCTATTTATAAAGATTTAATCAAATCAAATCAAATCAAATCAAATCAAAGTTTATTTATAAAGCACATTTAAAAGCGATTTTTGGTTGGGCCAAAGTGCTGTACATGTAATAAATACTACATCACATAAAAACACATTTCTACAATCACAATAAAAGACAATAAATTACAACAGATATATAAAAAAACACAGGGAAAAGTCAGGAGTCGTGCTCCGCTCTGACTAAAAGGCCAGGGAGAAGAAGTGTGTCTTAAGTGTAGATTTAAAAACCCCTAGGGTCTGGGCCGACCTCACATGGAGGGGCAGAGTGTTCCAGAGCCTATAGCTGCTGCGAAGGCTCGGTGCCCTCGGGTTTTAAGCCTGGTCTTGGGCACTACCAGCAGCAGCTGGTCAGCAGACCTTAAAGCTCTGGCTGGGGTGTAGCGCTGGAGGAGTTCAGCTATATAGGCCGGAGCCAGCCCATTTAGGGCTTTGAAAACAAATAAGTGTGTGTTTAGGTTTACACGAGAATCTTAGAAAGACTAGCCTATTTCTTCACTGTACAATGACTTAAAGATCTCATATTGTACTATTTTTAGGCATATATTATAGGTCTCAGATATATAAAAAACATGTCTATGAAGTGTTTTGCTCAAAATACCAAACAGATCACCCATTCTGGTAAAGAGGAAAAGAGAGAGGGTTTTATTTTCTGACACTTTGTGAGTGTCCTTACGCACACCTATTTTTTTAATGTATAAAAGACATCAAAAAGTGCATTTTTGCATAATAGGTGACCTTTAATATGTATTGGTGCACTATGAAACAAAATAGCTGTAGCTATGTCACCTTCATCTGGTTCGTCCGAGGTGTTGCTAGATGTACTAGTCCCAGTAGAACCCAACCAAAGTTTGCGAAGGCTGACAGAAAAGTTACTGCTCCATATCCCTGGAAAGGAAAATAAAACGGAGGATTGGAATAATTTAAAACAAGTAACAAATTGTAGTACTGCACAGAAAAAACTGAAACGTTGACTTTAATTAAATGTATGATGGCAACAAATTTCACGTAACCGTATTAGGTAAGTTGAATAATAATAATATTTGTATTTAAACGTAATATTATTGCTTTGAATTAACCTAATATGGTTAAGTGAACTTTGTTGACATAATACATTTAATTGAAGTGAACATTTCAGTTTTTACTGTGTGTGCATTGCAACAGGAACAGTGGTTTACCTAATAGATAAGGAATGCGGACTTCTGGGATTTTTTTGATGATACGACCCAGGAAGAATTGACTCCCGAAGTCCTCACTTCGGACAAACGCCCCATACTTCGGGATGCCTACCTCATAGGGAGTGAACTCACACCACTCTGTCAACAAGATGTGGTATATTAGTAGCAGACAAAATCAATAATCTCTTCAAAATTCTCATTTTGTGTTTATACTGTTCAATGAGGGGTGTGTATGTGCCTGTCATTTGTCATCAGCCTGGTCAGTTTTTTAGCTGTTACAGTTATTCAAATACTAATGAAAAATATCTGGGAAATGTACCAGCTGCATGTTCACAACCCCTTATTCCATCCTTCATGTTGACCGCGGTGTATATGGGTAAAGGGTTCTGGCCTTCATTCACTGCTCTCTGCTGCTCTGACACGGTACTGTCGATTTTCTGCAATTCCAATCACATGTCATTACTAGATACCACCTCACGTTGGAATCAATCTCCCAGACCGGGCCACAAGTATAAAAGTGGTCCCCTACTCCCCTTAATTCCAATGTCTTTTTTCAGGTCTCCTCTATATTTCATAGGCTTTAAGAATGATTTGCCATGAACACACACGCACGCACACACACACACACACACACACACACACACACACACACACACACACACACACACACACACACACACACACACACACACACACACACACACACACACACACACACACACACACACACACACACACACACGCACACGCGAAGCAATACAAGTGTGACAGACACGGCTGTTAAAGGTATTTAACATTACTTAACAGAAGTGAAAATTAGGGTGCAAAATGTAATCTAAAAACTTTAAAATTCATATATAACTTAAGGTAATAACAGGATAAGTTCAGCTTCTCACCTTCCCAAAGACAAGATGCTCAAGCAGCAGGCCCACATTGTCAACGAGTGACACGGGGTGACCCTCTTGCTCTTTCTTAGCGGTTTCCTCGCTGTAATACTGCAGTTTCTCAGGAGAGAAGGCACTCAGGACACTCTTGGTCATCTGTTCTTTTGATGCTGAGATGATACTGTCTATGTCCTCCTGTGACCAGTTATCTTCCTGATACAGAGTAGACATGGCCCTGCTCACATGGGAGATAATAGTGTTTAAAGGGTTTCAATCATTTAAAAGCAATTCATATAACCAGGCAAACTATATAACCATATAACCACCAAAAACAGTTTATGGCAAGGTGTTGTTGAAGCAGTAGCACCGACATTGCTAAGTGGCTAAAACGCGACCACACACATATATTTATAAATATATATAAATGTTGGGCAACACTAACCTGGCGTTTGTATGACATATTATTCACAACTTACCCTATAACATGCCATATATTTACAACCTGTTAAAATTACAACCTGTTTGCTATTATTGTCGAAGCAACTAGGATATACTCATTCACAGTATTTATGGGGAATATTAATGTCATACGTCTGTCTGATAAATGTTCCGTGACACGAAGTTTTATATATCTTATGACCGTACTTCCATTAAACACTCGAAAAATATTCTACATTTTATATAGTTATTTGGTTTCAAATCGTGTTACAGACTGGCTTCGTTGGCTATGCTAAGATCATCCATGTAATACGAGTAAACTTCACTTTATTCATGGAGCTACGTTGACAAATATTGTCACCTAAAGGAAAAAACATTCATGGGGATATATGCATCAAGGGATATTATTAAGACAGTACATTTGTACTTTAAAGCGTCCGCTGTCGTTAAACCACTCCAGTTGGTAATTGCCACTGCACAATATTGGCATACTATTATCACGTCACGAACAGTTTAAAGTTGGAGAATTGTTGCATTTTAGGCATTTAAAATATTCCATACATTCTCAACATTGACAGTGATAGTCCAATATTCCTAATATGTTGGATTTCCCATTTTATCCTGAATAGAAGGCCTACCTGTCTGTCTCGATGCATTTAAAATATTTTATAGAAATAAAGCAAATGAACCAATGTACCAATTGACAGAATTAAGTCTTTGTGGACCTCTGTTAAAGTCTTCTTCCTTTCTAAGCATTGGTTCAATCCCGTAAATAACCAGTTCATGCCCTTAACTCACAGCCCCACTGCCCTGTTTCCTGGTATTAAATTATATATTTTCTGTTTGGCACATCCCAAAATGTAGGACATTGCCTTTATTTGCCTGTCTTAGTAAATGAGAAGATTGATATTAGCATATTTTCACCTGAATGTAAAACGACACTTGTTCACTCACCATGTGGATCCAGAAACACCAGTGATGTAACTGACAGCATCCAGGACTCCTGTGTCTTTCAGACCTTTCAGACTACCCAGCATGCCCGTCATTGCTCTGGCCCCCCCTCCGGAAGCCACCACTGCTATGGTTGGTACCTGAACAGAGAATAAAAAGAGTGAGGCTATATTTAGTGCTTTAAACCAGGGGTTCCCAACCCCCGGTCCGCGGACCGGTACCGGGCCGCGGAGGTGTTACTGCCGGGCCGCGAAATAGCTGTGAGTTTATCGTAATATTTGCAGAATTATAAATATATAAAAATATTTTATCATAATATTTTTCAAAAAGTGTTTAATTTTCGCACCTATGCCACCAGTCATATTATTTCATCCAGTAGCTAGTTAATCTTTCACCAGAAAACCGTTGAAAATGGCTTTTATGATGTTCCGTGGGATTCGGCGGCTCAGCCATGGTCTCAGCCTCTTGTGCGCACGAGCATGTTACCGGTGCGCCAAGTAGGAAGAGGAGCGCACAGGAGACAACCGTTTGATTGCAGACTGTTATGTTTATGTGGGGAAATGGTGGTGCATACATTATTTGAGATATATTTCAAACTCGGACTTCATTTTAAGGACATGCCGGCCAGGGGTGTAGAGCTATTTGTTTAAGCACCGGATTGGCAAAACAGGAGAGTAAACCAGTCTGCCTTGATCTATGAATTAATGTCCGGGACTCTCACGGTATCTGCTGCCCGCAGCTGTTTTATAGAAGGAAACCCTCCTTCACTTCATGAAATGGCTGCAGCATCAGGAGGCAGCGGGACGTATACTCGGTAAAGAGCTGTGCCTTTTTACGCACCGCCTTCGCTGTGTTTAACTTAATCAGAACAGTTTAAGAGTGACTGCAGGCTGCTACGTGTTAACCACACACACATCTACATACATCGAACTGCCCGATTACTCCCCCTTTTATTCGTTTTCTGAAGGAGATGTCCAGTCAGTCACCAAGGCGCATGATGTGTGTGTATGTGCTCTGCTCAGCTCAGCTCTGTGTGTTCGGTGTGTTTGTGTCTGTCCGACACCGGCATATATGCGGCTGTTCCCAAAATAAATTAGTTTCATCTTAATCTCGATGTAGTGCTAAATGCTGTCGGAGTGCACCGGAACGAACGACACTATCATAATATCTTCTGAAAACAAATGCCAGTGTCACGCACGCACGCACGCACGCACGCACGCACGCACGCACGCACGCTCGCACGCACGCACGCACACACACACACACACACACACACACACACACACACACACACACACACACACACACACACACACACACACCCTGGCGACCGGACATCTCCTTCATAATGCGCCTTCTCCTCGTTTTCCCAGCATTCACTGGATTATCCGTAAATCATACAAACAAAACCAAAACGTTGATTTATCTGTTTTCCCGTTTTGGTTTAAAAACTGAATAACGTCGGTTTTTTGGTTTTCCGAAAAACCAAAAAACAACACCGGTTCTTTTTTAAACTTTGTTAATATGTTTTGGATGCATATTGTTCTAGTATTTGTTCAGGCTGTTACATACAATTAGCCTCTGTTGCTACCTGCTGGTGGTGAGTAAATATTCAAATCAGTTAAAATTGACAACCGGTCCGCGATTTTTTTTTAATGTATCTACCGGTCCTTGGCACAATAAAGGTTGGGAACCCCTGCTTTAAACCACATGCAAACTTCAGCATGCTAACATGCTCAAAATGGCAATATTAACATACTCATACTCATGTACTTAATTGCATCCATATGATACTGCCATGTGTGAATATCTCATGACATGATCTGACTTGACTTCTGGCACACTTTCAATGTATCGTGTTTTATTCATTAGTGTTAAGCAGTAAAAGAAAGGCCAGATGGATCTGAGACTTTTAAAGCAACCCGGTATCACGGCAAGACGTGAACATGTGACGATCTACCATGCTGGGAGACGTGAATATGTCACGGTTTCGTCCCTTCAAACTTGACAGTTACACGGTATTGTTAACATGGCCCAACCAGTGGAGAAATACCCGGAAGTGCCAAGCAAATGCTCTACCGCGCCTATTGGTCGGTTTTTATTGTCAAAATTAGATGTTTTTAATTGATTTTTTAATCGTCACACTCGATTTCGCCGATTTTCTTGTTGCCCTAGCTGGTCGACACCTCTTTTAGCAGAAACAAAGGCTACATTAATTATTGGGGAATCTTATGTGTTTTGTGATGTTTGTGCTGGAGCCGCTTTATCCAAAACAGCACTCCGGTTAGAGAGTTGACACGGAGACAGGAAGTACAGTCGTTGGACTTTATATTAGCTTGGTTCTGATCATCAACACAGAATACATCATGCTTGATGTGGAATCACATACAGGATGTTGAATGGGTTGATGAGTATGACGATAATGATAACGTAGAGTAGAGAATGAATAAATGTTTTATTCTTCACGAACGCATTCTCTCTGTGACGATGGTAATTATGCATGTGACGATGCGACCACAATAATGTCCTGTCATGAACGCACATGTGTAACCAGCTCGAGGACCCGTAGCTGCACTACTTTAGCTGTCCCTAAATGTGCCTGACTAAAACACGAACGATATAACGCAGATCAAGGAAAACAAGGGGAATTTACAACATTAATGTATTAAATTGATGTTAATCCATGTGGATGTGGAATTAACGGACGTGACGTTGTGCGATTGCGTTGCCAGGCAACAGCTTCGGTGTGCTTGCTTTTCTCTTTGAAAGTCATCACATAACGGCATTGTAATACACGGTTCGGCTGCATTAAATATTACATATCTGCCGTAGTTCTGTATTTATAGAGCCCTGATGAGAAGACTTCTAGACAAACTGGAAGAACTGCCGCCAAAACTGAATATGTGACGTGGATCATAAATATATCAGCAACCACCTAGTGGTTAAAGCACATTATTGAATTTAGTTGTTGAATATGTTATATTTGATGAAAAAAATATTAAGAGTAGAAGGGAAAGTAGAAGGTCAATGATAGAAATATAGAATATAAAAAATTCATGAAGATACTGTAAGTGATCTCTACAATAAAACAGTTTAGTGCAGGACGTCCAAAGATATTAATAGGAGGATGTGCAAAACAGGAAAACAAATGAACCTTTATTTAAACATTAAAGAATACTTTATGTTAAGGTCGTCTTTTAAATAAGAAAAAAGCTTTGGGGGTATCTACAGATAAATATTTAACCTGACAAAGTACTTAACGTCTAATATATTGCTTTCCTGCAGCACTTCTTTTAACTGATATTATACATATTAATTATACTCTAATGCAGGGGTAGCCAACACGGTGCCCGCGGGCACTTAGTCGCCCGCAGGGGCAACGTGAGTCGCCCGCGGGGCATGTTCTAAAAATAGCTCGCCAAGCAAATCCAAAATGTATAAAATACACAAAACAAAAAAGGAAATGTAATTAAAAGAATCTACCCTATGCATAAACGAAACCTAAATCATAGCGAACTCTATCTACTTACTACAACTCTATATCTATCTAACACCCCTCCTCCCCCCACCCCCACAATGAATATCGACCAATCACGTTCTTGCTTGATTTGCGGGACCAGCGTTGCAGTCGGGAAGAAAAGCAATGTGGCACCTCCCCGCTGATTTTCCTTCTGGCAGAATCTACACAACACATCAGCCCCATTGAACAGCCTTGTGGTGCCAGCCTATACAACACATGAGGGGCAGAGTTTTACTCTGTGTGTGTTGCAACTTGCATATATATTTATTGCACTTGACGCACACACACGCATGGCGTAATTTCCACCTGGGACAGGGGGAAATGTCCCCCCCCACTTTTTGAAATCCCGTTTGTGTCCCCCCCACTTTACAAATATGTTTATTATTATTTTTTAACGCAAGCCGTCATCGCCACGGAGGAGCACACAGCCTCTGTGAGCGAGCGAGACAGAGAGAGCGAGAGAGCTAGGGAGGGAGGGAGGGAGGGAGAGAGCTAGGGAGAGCACACCTTTATCTATTTAATATAGATAAAGTAAGAAATCATTCCAATGTGTACTATAGGAGAGTAAAAAAAACAAAAAAAACAGTTTGAAAGGGGAGTGATTAGTAAAATATGCATAAATAAAAAGAAAGAATGCTAACTAGGTAACATAAGATAAGAATAAACCAGTTTAAATGATTTGTTATTGGTTGTGATCATATTCTAAAGATGTTTGGATTATTGAAAAGTATACAGCTCCCTTTCATCTGAGTGTTGAGAGCTGTATCCATCAATTCATGTTGTGCTCAAAGTGCTCCAGATTGATGCATTTCACTTCAACATTTAAAAATAATCCTAGAGGAGGTGAGGACCCCCCTAGAGGAGGTGAGGTCCCCCCTAGAGGAGGTGAGGTCCACCCCCAAATAAAGCAGGTTAAAATAATTAAATTGCATACATGTTCTTTTAGTAAACACTGAAAACGGGTCCCACAGACCCAAACAGCACACAAAGGTTAAAGGTCAGCATATCATAATGTTAAAATGTGCTAAATATATACACTGCAAAAAAGAAAGAAAAGAGGAGTAAAAGTAGCCCCCGACTTGTTTTATTTTTTGAAAGTAGCCCTCACCCTAAAAAAGGTTGGTGACCCCTGCTCTAATGTATGTAGATAGTATAAGAAATTTGCAGAATAGGACAGTTTAATGGTGGAGGTATACACATGGAGCTCAGCGCAAGTTCAACCAGGAAGACCTTCTTTACTCATTCATTTACTATGCTACGTTACTACTCTCTCTCCTCTCAATAAGTGATCGGGGCGTCACTCCCCAGCTTAACCAATCACTTCGCTCTATTCTCACAAGCCTATCATAGCGCTCCGCTAACCCCTTTAAATTTGCTCTCCCCTCTCTGTCAGCTGTCATTTCAGGTGACTCAACGCAACCCTCCTCCACCCCTTTTCACCTCCTGTCCCTCCAAATCCAGGGTCAAGCTAAGCCACTCCCCTTCAGACCGAACCCAACTATCCATTCACCACCACCAGTGTCTAGACCCCGGGGGGGTTTCATCGGATCGGAGTTTTCCCCTCCCGAATGATACTCCTGCACTACGGGGCCTAATCGCCAAAACACCATTACATTCATT